CAATAATTCTACATTACTTTAAAAATAATCTTGAAATGTACCACTTATTGATTTAAATTACATTCATTACCCTGACGGATGCCATAGTCAACATTGGGACGTTGGAGATCTGTAGAGTTCCGCTTTAGACGACTCGCTCTTCTTTGTGTACTGTTGTAACTTCTGTAAAACTGTTGAAATGACGACGATGAATCTACTTCGACCCTTCTTGGAGATTGATACGTATACCATTTGGAATCGTCCTAATGCAAAAAGAACAACTTAATTAGGTAACTTAGCTGGAACACTGTAATATACAAACATCTAGTTATAACTTTTCTCAACATTATATCATTTTCACTCGTGGATCCAGGGGATAGGAAATTAGGGTTGCAACCACCTTTCTGATGGACTGTCATACAGAAGGTGCGCTTTTACCTAATAAAGAAAGTGGATTTTTAAAAAGGTTTCATGACCCGGTAGAAGGGCAACCTCCCTTACCAAACACTCCTGGATCCACCCCAGTATTTTAGTGATAGAAAAAAAAACAACTAAACTTGCAACCATGCTTAGAGAACAACGTAGAAGTATTAATAGGTAACAATGTACTATTTTCTCCGGTAACTAAACCAATGTAGGGGTTACAGTTAAACCAAGAATTATCGGCCGATTCCTTGTGGATCTTGCCGACTTTTTAAAACATTTTCCAACCTATTTATGCATACAATTCCTTTTGGGTCCCTGACTGTATATTAATTACAGGTTCCATGATAACGAGCCAAGCGCGCACACAAATCACTATTGATATTAATACCACTAATTACAGCTGGGATCTCCTAGATATTTTAAATACAAAATGAGCAATTTAACCAAATATTTATTAGTTCTTTAGAGTGAGTGTTTAACAGGCAAAACACACAAATTATTCCCCACTGGCCCTAAACGGCAAGTAGGTAGTTTAAGGGTTAAGATATTACAATGTTGACCGACTTTATTTTTGTTACTGGATTTTAGCGTACATGCATTGCTCTCTGATAATGTTTTATGGAAATTATTGTAACGTGAAAACTGATTTTTTTGTTTGTTTGTTTTTCAAGAAGGGGAAAGTATAAAGTTAAGACAATCCTAAACGTGGCATGTTCAAAAATTACCTTTAATAATTCTTATAATGTACATTTGAAAATGATAGAAAGTGTTAAAACTTTTAAAATATAAACTTACAAGTGAAATGTTAAACTAATAACGGCAAAGTTTCGTCGAGTTTGAAAATGAGTAACTAAGGGTTGTTCTGGAATATATATAAGGAACTACAAATCTTCTATCGTAATCGTACTTTAAACCAACAAAGAATCTCCTTTGGCACACTCAGAAGAGAAAGGTATATTCGGAAATACTTTCACTGAACAGAACTATTTAAGAGTTACCAATTTCACTTACAAATTACACACTGGTAAAATGCTTGCGTTTATTAATCGATTTCATATTGTAGATACCAATGTGATTACCATAATTTCTGAACAATGTAAAAATGTCCTCACGAAGAGTTCTTATGAGATAGTTCAACGACTGAACCGTACGCCAATCAAGTGTTGTTTATGTCAATCATATATATATTGTGAACCAAGGTGTCTGTCCTAGTGTTCGTCTGTCTTCCGTTTGAAATATTGCGCACGCAGGCAAAGCTCAACATTCACTTTTGAAATGACGGGATAACCGTCATGAATAATGATGATGTTAAATTTTATTTCGTAAACGGAATATTCCACACTAAATTGTTAGAAATAAATCACACTATCATTCACACCTCAAAATGTGACGTAACTTACAATAAATGTATATTTTTATTCTTTATGTTATTGTTTTTTTTGTTCCTGTAAACTCCCAGTGAAGCATAGGGCCACAACAACACCTCGCCAACGGACGGTGTTGTTGCGCCCAACGCTCCCCCTTTCTCATCCTGGACTTGGGGCCAGGCAAAGGCCGAGGTTGGCATGTTTGGTGTGACGGGGATTCGAACCCGCGACCCTCAGATTACGAGTCGAGCGCCCTAACCACCTGGCCATGCCGGGCCTTATGTTATTGTTGGGCGGCTCTTATCATGACTGAAATTATCAAGAAGTACTTTTCGCGGTGGGTGGTAAGAAAAGCTCAGACCTTTGGCTCTGAGTGACACCAAGAGTGCAACACAATTAACCTTTTTAAAGTCCATGAAATGATTTAATTGATAGATTAACTTGAAATGTTTCCCGTATAAAGAACAAAAATCTGTGTGTATGTCTGTTTGTCTCTTATCTAACTACTCCTAGTTCGCTGAGCCAATCTCAACCAAACTTTGTGGGATGGTAGTTTGTAACAAGGAGCATGTTATTGGGGGTTGACAACCCTCTTCATCCCCCATTATTGCTGTTATCGAGCACTTATTATCTTTGACTTAAGTTAACGTTACCCGCATACATAAGTGGTGTCACGTTCTTACACATACAAAAATATTAAACTTTCTATAACACAACATACACAAAGTGTGGGGGAAATCACACAAACATCTTATATATCTCAGAGAGTGCACTAACACTCTCTGTGGAGGAATGCAGTAAGAAAAAATGGTCTCCACTATTGCAATAATACATAAACCTAGCTGAAGTTTCTACTCCTACAGCCACCATAAGGCTGATATGAAGAGCCGTTTCTTGGGTTATACCAAGTTCCAACTTTGACCCGTGACGTCTCAACTTCGGTCTGTAAGACACTTCTACTGCCAGTGTCAATTAATTAATCACATGAAACATTGTGAAAGGACATTAAAAGTTGGATGTTGAAAGCGGGTAATAGAAAGCACCCATTTCGCCATCACTTTGGCCGTTACCTCTTAAAGTCACCCTGACCATCGCATGGTGTATACCATGTTTTAAGTATGTACTTATTAAGTTATTAAAGCTTATACAAAACTTTTAGTGAGGTAATAATGAATACTGTAATATGTTACGTTATAAATAAATTGTAAGAAAGTTATGATTTTTTACGTTACTTGTCATAGCATCCCCCCCCCCACATTTTTTTAAAGTTCATAACCAGGACAAAGGACGGGTACATCAGCTTGTGAAAAATACAGATAAAAAATAAATAAACAGAGAAAACTGTTCCTTCAGGAAGCCGCAAAAAAAAAATTAATTTCCATGTTTAATCACAAATATAAGGCAGAAGAAAAATGTTCCACGGAGAAACAAAATCCCCAATGTTTGTTAGACGACTGAATAAAACAAATGCATGAAATATAAAATATCCAACTGTTAGAAAACCTGAATATACATCGAAAATAAAAAATCAGAAATCTTTAAAATTGCAATTCTGGTTTTCATTTAACAGTGGATACAAGAAAATTAATCCACGTTATGTTTGTGAATTTATTTATCCGTGAATTCCTTCCACAGTTTTTGACCCAAGGGGTATCCTTAGCTAAATGACTTGGCTCTCCTTTCAAAAAGGCACCAAGAGGAGCTAAAACGCGCCCGTAAGGTCACCCAGGTATAATAGAGGTCTACAAGTACGTTTTCAGGGTCACTGAACCCAAACTTGGTATCTGATTTTGTTTTCCTATCCCTCCTCAGTATCCAGAAGCGCCATGTTTAAAACTGTGTTAAGATCCCTAGTCATAATCTAGCAGGGCTAAATGTGGCCCACGTGCTCAGGTACCACGAGCAGTTATCTTATCGGAGTTTAGTTTTCGGATATAGACTCTCCTTGTGGTAACTATAGAAGTAATTGACGATAATGAAGATACTTTATAGGTACTTTGGAGTCCTCTGCGAATAATGAGGAGGGACGATGAACCCCGCTAGTGCAACTTACTCGAATTTATAGTGATAACGGCAAAGCTTAATCTTAGAGATAAAATGTCCTACCATAACACATGTTTGTATAGAAGTTTCAAAGCATACATTGTTTTCCATAAGCAAAATAGTATTTCACGATGTTACTCGAAAGTTACAAATCGACATAAAATGTTTAATTCGTAAGAAACTGATTTTAAGTTTTCAACGGCAAGTTTATTTCGTGTATTTGTTTTATACAAATAACTGAAACTTATTTTTGATCCGAGGTACACATGCTCTTCAGTGAAGTACTTTATCTCCCGCCATATGTTCTGCGCTTCACTGAATACTGTGAAAACGAAACAAAAAAAAGAAACTTAAGACTTGGTACGAAAAGTGCTCCAAAAACATGTAACGTTGGAAACAGGCGAGTTCAGCTATTGTTTCACTTTTTCTGTTCATGACTTCAGAGTTAATGCGTATTTCCTGTTCTTGTTATCAAGTAAAAAGAATATTGTTCTGGTATTTACGTGTAAACGATTCTCCAATATTCATTCAGGTAAATGTTAAATATAAAATTTGGAACCTAATTTTCAAGCCAACTCTTTGATCAGTAGTGATTTCGGAAAAAGTTAAACGTTGCCTGTGTGAATAACAAAATAGTAAAATACAAATTGGAGTTTATGATTCCGAAGATACAAGTAAAAACTATAAAATACTTGACTTTACGATTTTATTAATTCGTGGATCACAAGTGTACTTGTTTCGCGTGTGTGAAGTTAAAATTTCTAAAAACTGTGCATAATACACATTTTTAAAGTAAAAATTGCTACTTTCTTGATATAGAGCATTCGGCTATTAAATGATTTATATCTGCTTCAGTAAACAGAAAATGTTAATATTTTACTATCGTAGTTATACTCCAGTTGCTTCTAGCTACGTAAATTGTTTATTTGTAATTAAGCACAAAGTTACACAATAGACTATCTGTGCTCTGCCCACCACGGGTAAGTCCGAAGTCCGTAGACATGCCGATGTGCCACTGGGGGAGGGGGGGCAGCTACGTAAAGTTTTCCCTATTTGGGCACACTTCTTACATACAAGTAAATTTATACACACATAGATGTTTATTCCATAAAATTAATTTCTTGTGAAAATATCTTTTAAGTTTTTGTTGGTATCATTCCCCCCCCCCCCCTTTACAGTAAAAGCGTTACGTAGTTAATAGCAAAATCCTACGAAGTATAACAGCATGATTCTTGTTTCATTTCGATAAAAGAAAAGAATATTCAACAGTTATATATGAATACAGTATAAATATTACCGAGATACAGAGCAGCTTACTGAAAAAAATACAGTAAGTACAGAAAGGCATGCTGTATGGGAAATAAAATATTCCAAAACACCCACGTGCACGTGCAGCGCCTTAGTCCGAAGCGTACACTCAGCTTGCG